AGAGAGAGTTAAGCAAGTCCTTTGCCATGAAAGACTTGGGATCGGCGAAACAGATACTTGGTATGAAGATCTCCCGTGATAGGAAGAATGAGAAGTTATGGTTATCTTAAGAAAGCTACATTGAAAAGGTTCTTGAAAGATTCAATATGAGTAAGGCCAAGGCTATTTGTTCTCCACTTGTAGGTCACTTCAAGCTTACAGTTGAATAATGTCCTACAAGTGAGAAAGAAAAAGAAGAAATGAGCAAAGTGCCAAATGCGTTTGCAGTTGGCAGTTTGATGTATGCGATGGTCTGTACAAGGCCAGATATTGCTCATACAGTTGGAGTTGTTAGCCGATTTCTCTCTAATCCTGGAAAAGAACACTGGGCAGCAGTAAAATGAATATTGAGATATCTGAGAGGTACTTCTAAGGTGTATGCTTTGGCAGTAGTGAGCCTATTTTAGATGGGTACACAAATTCAGACATGGCAGGTGACATTGATTGCAGGAAGTCTATTCGGGATTCCTGATGACTTTTGCAGGGGGGCAGTCTTTTGACAGTCCAAGCTACAAAAGTGTGTCGCTCTATCCACCACAGAAGCTGAGTACATAGTAATTACTGAAGGTTGCAAGAAAGCTTTGTGGATGAAGAGGTTTCTTGAAGAACTCGACATGCAATAAGAGAAGTGTATTATCTACAGCGACAGTTAGAGTGCCATCCACCTCTCTAAGAATTCAACATTCCATTCGAGATCCAAGCATATTGATGTTAGATATTACTGGATTCGTGATGTGCTTGAAGGGAAGCAGTTACACCTAGAGAAGGTCCACACCATTGAGAATGGATCAGATATGTTGATGAAGACTTTACCTAAGGAGAAACTTGAAGCTTGTAGGCAGAGAGCGGGCTTAGGTGAGCCCACCAAATGATGCAGAGGGGGAGTTTGTTGGGTTCTGCCCCATTTGTGGGTTGGAACAACTTGTGGGCTTCAAGCCCAAATGACAACAAAAATAAAAGAAAGGCATGATGCTCACATGGGCAGCCAACTAGAAAAAATAGAAAAGAAAAGAAGAAGGAGAATGGGGGAGTAGAGGGTAGCCGAGAAAAACCAGAGAAAGAAAAGGGAAGAAAAGGAGAGAGAGAGAGAAAATGGGTAGGATTTTGGTGCTTGTGCAAGATGATTGGGTAGTGAAACGTTGTTGGTTTCGGCTCAAATTTGACGTGGAGAATCCTTATTGCGAGCTCTTCCAATCTACTCGACTTGATTTCTTATTTAGCCTCTCTTTAGTACTCTCTTGAGTACTCCTATTTTGGCGAGACCTAAGCTTTTCTTTGGTGTTATTGTTATTATCCATCTTTAATGATGATGTCCATATTGTTGGTGAACTAAGAATAGTGTTTCTTGATGATATTATTGTTGTGATCCTCTAGTTTGATTCTAGAGAAAAACTTTGTAATCCCATTGTTAATATAGTGGAAGAAATTTAAGTGGCTTAAGGGTCTCGTGATTTTTACTCTCAATTTAAGAGGTTTTTCACGCTAAAAATTAGTGTTTCATTTGTGATTGATTATTTTGATTAATTAGTGCATTGGTTATTTGGCTTTATTAGCATTTTGTTTGAGATCCTATTTTAGGACACAAAGAGGAAAAGTTTTATTCCGCAATTGTTAATATTAGTTTTTCCAACAGTTAGAGCATCTCAATTCAATGTCACATTAGTGTGCTAACTTCTAAATTCTAGTGTTTTTGAGTAAGAAAACTATATCCAATGCAATGTTATTTTTATGTTAAGTTTGACATACATTATATTTGCTGCCAAATTTGACAGCAAGTGTATATAGCATATCCAAATTTTTGTATTTGATAGCTATTGAATGATTTTTTCATTTTTTTTCATTTAATCATCACAACAAGGTTATTTTTAAATTATTTTAAAGTTAAAAGTATACTTTTACAAGTGTCAAACCTTATTAATTCTCAAAATATATATATATATATATATAACATTTTAAATAGCATTATATAAATGAAAAAAAAAAAAAAAATAGGGCAGTGTAATAGAATATGCCATTTTTATACCATATAACATTAGGGTCTTTCTTTACTCCTTAGTATACCATAAAACATATAGATTATAGAATTTCATACCTTTTGTGATTCTTCAAGCTCTTTAAACGATAGAATGATATCCATAGCAGTCAAACCATCCTTTTTACAGCATTTCTATCCATTGTTTCATCGATCAAAATGACATTCAAAATCTCGAAATCTTTCGAAATGGCTGCCAAATGCAAAGGTTTGTTTCCATCTTTGTTTTGTTTGTTCAAAACATGTTGAGGCCAAATTCCTTCAAGAGATATTCCACTGCGTTCTTTTGTTTACTTCTCAGAGCAACATGAAGAGCAGTCTGACCATTAATGGAAGTCAACAACTCACATAAGTCTGGACAAAATGTGCTGAGCTTCTCCATTATCCCAACCTCTCCTTTTTTTGGATGCTAAATGGAAAGACGACATCCCGGTCTTGTCGTTTTTGTAGGCCGACGACTTGTCGTTTGTTAGAAACAACTTAACAACTTCTTCTACGCCATAGTTTGCAGCATAATGAAGAGGTGTCCATCCAACGTTATCTTGTTCCCCCACTGCTCCCGGACATTTTCTCACCATGTCTTTCACAATACCTATTAATTGAGTACGATATGTTTATGTTGGGAAAATTATACCAAAGAAGAAAAAAGTCAAAATATGCTGGCAAATTTAATGGACACTCGAAAAGGAAAAGAAAATAGAAAAAGTTATAAACAAGTTGTTGAGCCCAAGGGTGCCAAAAAGCTATCTGTGAATAACTTTTAGAGTTACTGGTACAAATAGTCTCTCAATTTTGGGCATAGCGATATTTTAGTTTTGATCCTTGACATCAAAATTGATGAGGAATTTTTGAAATTTAATAAAGATAATCACATCCTTATCCATAATAATTAAAAATTTACATAAAAAGTTACAATATGTGCAAAATTTTATAGTTTTCAACAAGTTTTGCTGGTAATAAAAAGAAACTTTTACATATAAATGTAAAATTTAAAGTTTTTATGTGATGGACACATGATTATTATTATTAAATTTCAAAAATCTTCCATTAATTTTAGTCTCTGGGACCAAAAGTGCCAAAAACGAAAGTTTAAGGATTAATAAATCAAAATTATAAGTTCAGAAACTAAAATATTACTATGATCAAAGTGGACTTGAGTGACTATTTGTGCCAATCATCTGAACTTTTAATTGAATAACGCAAACCCTTACCGTGACCTTCTTCTGAAATTCTAAACGTACAGGCCCAGCAAGTGCAATTTGTTCCTGCAAAGTTATGAACATATTCAATATGAAAACTGCAATATTAAGGATTTTAACCAATACGATCTACAATAAATTTTGATGGTACTTGTCACGAGCTCCACGGAGCAACGCAATGTATCAATAAATTTTGATGGTGTTTGTTCGTTTAAGGTTCCAGTTGATTAATTAATATTGGGTCAATCTTATTTAATTCCCAAATTGTAGGCCAAATTTAATTTTAGCCCTTGATTTATTGACGTTTCAGATGATTCCTGGACCATCAAACTATCTTAAATTAGTCATCTCGTTCACTCATAGTTAAAACCTCAATAGAAATAAGCATTGAGGACCATGTGAGGTTTAATAATGGGAGTTAATTGGTATTATTACATATGTTAGAGTACGAGTGTTAAAAAAAAAAAAAAAAATTCTTATTTCCTTACGATTAATTTTAACTGATGACTGATTATTAGCAAAAGAACTATATATATTTTTGGACAATTAGGTAGATTGGATCTATATATAGATCGGAGACAATTTGGCAGACCGGAAATTTTTAATTTCCATTGTAGACGTGGTTTTCTACAATAAAAAAAGAGAATCAATATAATTAATAAAACGAAATCACAAGTGTAAAAATTAGGCCCCTTGATCACTGTTTAATCTTCGCCATCACGTTAATCACATCAAGAGAAAAATAGCATCGATTATGTGAACAAGAATAAATAAAGTGCTGAAAATAAATAAAGACACTTTTGAGCTTACTTTCACTATTCTTTTTCGCGATTATTGACAAAGGGAATAGAAGCTTAGAGGCGTTGAAGGATCCTCTTCAGATTGTTAAGAATTTAGCTGATGAGCAGGGAATCTCAGCGGTGTAAAAATAAGAGTACAACGGCGAGGACAAGAGAACAATAAAATTTTTTGAAAAATAAAGGATCGTCTCAGCGGGTATAAAAATAAGAGTACAACGGTGATGACAAGAGAACAATGGAAATTTCTGAAGAATAAAGGATCGTCTTTTGAGTCAAAAACCTCTTTTTTCCCTGATGGTTCAACTCAACCGTATTTATAGGGGCTAAGCACACTAGTTGAGTTATTTAGGTCTCGTTTACTTCGCGGATTCGAGTTTTCAATTTGAGTTGAGATGTGACATTTTCTGAGAGTTTTTCACTGTAACAGAAAAAGTTAAATGTGATATTTTCTGAGAGTTTTTTTACTATAAAAACTTAAAACTGAAAACTCAAATCGGTGAAATAAACAAGACCAATATTTTCAACTTTCCTCAACCGGTGGGAGTGGACCCTCGACTTCTGTAATGGGTACCATATTGCCATGATCACAAGATTGTAGGATGTTGGACACGTGGCGGGCTAAGATAGGAGGAAGAAGTTCAGCATCAACATCCATTAACGAAAAAGAAAGCGAATATATCCTTTAAAAAAAAAAAAAAAAAAAAAAGGGCTAGATAGAATATGACTTTTCCTGCAGCTTGAGTCTTGACTAAGGCAAAAAATGTGCTAGAAACCGTGTGTGCCCCGGAAGTTGGAAATTAAGCTCATCTACATCTTGACTTCTCAAGTCAACAACCGCACATATTTTAACGAGCAAGTTCGACACACACAATTGCTATAGCCACAGTAATTAGCCCAATGGTTTTCCTATATAGAAATAATAAGCTGATTAAAATTTTTGCGAGAAAGGAAAAAGAAAAATCACGCCTACAATATCAATGGGCTTATTCCGAAATCTCACCGGCATCTTCACCGTCGTATTAATTCTGACTCTCTTTTTTGCCTCCTCCAATGCAATCCAAATAAAGATCCTCAACAACTGCTCCTACACGGTCTGGGCCGCCGCCAACCCCGGCGGGGGAAGGCAGTTAAACCAGGGCCAAACATGGACTCTCACCAATGTAAACGGTGCAGGCCGCATTTGGGGCCGAACCAACTGTGCTTTCGACCGCGATGGACGCGGAAAATGCGAGAGCGGCGACTGCGACGGGCGTCTCGAATGCAGATCTAATGGCAGAGCCCCCAACACCATCGCTGAGTATGCGCTAGATCAATCAAACGACAACGATATTGTCGGCGTCTCGGTAGTCGAGGGGTTCAACATTCCGGTAGGATTCAGTAATTTAACTGGGTCCTGCTCTAGTCGAGAGAGCAAATGCACGGGGGACGTAAACGGAGCGTGTCCGATGGAGTTGAGAGATCCCGGCGGGTGCAACAACCCCTGCACAGTGTTTAACAACAACCAGTTTTGCTGCACTTCGAGGAATATCTGTGAGGCGACAAGTTATTCCAAAATTTTCAAGGATCTATGTCCGTACGCGTCTACATATCCTTCCGATGATGATGGAAAAAGTATTTGCCCAACTGGGATTGACTACAGTGTCGTTTTTTGCCCTTCAAGCTCAAGCAAAGAAGTGGCCAGAAGTCCTCCCAGCAATCCCAGCCGTGATAGTGGCGTCCTTTTCAAAATCCTGAATAACTGCCGCTACACAGTCTGGGCCGCCGCCTCACCCGGCGGTGGCAGGCAGTTGGACTCCGGCAAGACATGGACCATCAACGTCAACCCGGGCACAAGCAGTGCCCGAATATGGGCCCGAACAGGCTGCAGCTTCGATGGGGCGGGGCGCGGTAGGTGCCAGACGGGCGACTGCGGCGGCATCCTCGAGTGCCAAGGCTACGGCCAGGCTCCCAACACCCTGGCGGAGTTCACGCTGAGCGGATTCAGCAACTTGGACTACATCGACATCTCGGTCATCGACGGGTTCAATGTGCCGATGGAGTTAAGCCCCATGTCTGGCGGGTGCAACCGCGTGATCCAGTGCACCGCCGACATCATCGAACAGTGTCCCGCCGCGTTGAGGGTCGACGATGGTTGCAATGGCGCTTGTGCCGTCTTTAAGACCGACCAGTATTGTTGTACTTCTGGAAACTGTGGGCCCACAAATTACTCTAAGTATTTCAAGGATCGGTGTCCTGATGCTTATAGCTACCCTAAGGATGACGCCACCAGCTTATTCACTTGTCCTTCTGGGGCCAACTATAAGGTCGTGTTCTGCCCTTGATCAAGTTATAATGCTTGCATGGAATCCTTTGTATGCAGATTGTACTATATATACTAATATCATATCATATATAAATAATTTGCATGCAGATTGTACTATATATACTAATATCATATCATATATAAATAAATGTACTATCTCCTACCAGCTGAGATAAACCATGCAAACTACGTACTAGAAGAAAAATGTAGTGCGCTAATTACTGTAATTATAAAGAGCGTCATGACAATGTTGATTTTTTCTTCTCTTCCTTTTCAAGGAGTCATATATATCCTAGTAATTAATGACGTTATAATTGGTTAAGATTTAAGAAAACTAGAGATGTCTAACATTGTAGAAGCTTCGGAGTTTTCTAACAATGTAGCCTTCTTATAATAAGCACTGCAAAACAAAGTAAATTTTGAAGTCTAACCGTATCGATTGGTAGAAAATTTAAAGGTCCCAGAGAAATAAATGGGTTGTTCTTTTATAACGAAACTCAGAAAAAGTTTAAACTTGAGTTACAATTTTATTTAAGTTCATGTTCTTTTGTAAAATTTGAGTTTGAACTCGAGTTTAGGACTAAACTCGAGTTCAAGTTTCCCCTTCAACTCGAGTTCATAAACTCGAACTCAAGTTAATAAATAGTATTTTTTATATTCTTAAAAATGTCATAACTTTTTCGTTTTAATTCTGATTGAGATGATTTTTTTTCTATGCATTCACAATAAAAAGGCGAATAAAATCCTACCTACATACCCTATTAAAATTTTTCATCACCATTGAGTTTTTATTAAAATACTATCTAAATACAAATTTAAGTTTTGACCCACCCAAATACAAACTCAAAAAGATTCTCAATTCAAATCATTAATCAAATGTGCACATCCAAACACAAACTCAAGTTACAACTTCAACTCAAATTATAACTCAAATTCAACTCAAGATCATCACTTAAGTCACCCTAACTCAAAAATGCAAAACCCCTTAAATAATCTAAGGATCAAAGGCTGTAGGGCGGACTGCTCTACATTCAGCCACGCCACATGACGTTATCATTGACTTGGTCATTTTTTAAAGTCAAATTATTATTAAAAAAATTGAAATTTTCAATAATACTTAATGCAATATATATATAGCCAGCTCAATAAAGGTTTTGATTTGATTCGAGTTTTTAATTTGAGTTGAAATATAATTTTATGTGAGCTTTTTATTGTAGTAAAAAAATTAGATGTGACTGTTTTTGAGAACTTTTTACTGTAGCAAAACTCAAATTTTAAACTTGAATCGGTGAAATGAACGGGGCCTTAATTTGGTTAGAAGAAAACTATTCTTGTATTAATCTTCAGTTTGTTGATAATTCCGAATTTCGGTCATCCTAATTCATTGACAAGAGAAAACAAATATTATACATCACACATCATGCCCCTAAACTGATCAAGTGTAATGTCCTTCTAGATCGTGAACAAATAATATTAAGAGATACAAATTGGTTCTTATGATGTTACTTTGACTAGCATTAGTACCCGTCGGGATATCTCCCCATCAACTTAAGTGCGAGTCCCTTCTCGTAGGGTCCACGTGAATAGTGGCACCCACCCTTTGTGTTTAATGAGGAGATATCCCCGTTTGGTTAGCAAAGATTTTTCCTAATTTGAATTGGTGGGTATCAGGCTTGTCTTACTATATAGTTTTGAGTAGTTGGTAGTTGTGCTGTCTTCACCACGTAACTCCCAGTAATTAATTCCATTATAAGAACTAGTATCTGCATACATAGATATTGGTGTACAACACCTGCAATATAGGTCTCGTTCATTTCACCGATTCGAGTTTATAATTTTAGATTTTTACAGTAAAAAGCTCTCAGAAAATGTCATATCTCAGCTCGAATTAAAAACTCGAATCCGTGAAGTGAACGAAGCCATAATCTCAATGATTAGTTCTACAGATTTTTTTTCCCCCCAAATTAATAACTTAAACTGAAGAAAAAAATAGAGCTAAAAGAACGAAAATGTAAGTGAATAAGGTTTTTATGTATGCTTTATGTTAAATTGAATTAGGTCGAACCGTAGTCAAGACCAGAATAAATTTTGATTAATTAAATTTGAATTAATTTTTTATTTTTAAATTAAATTAAATTTTTATTTTTGTATTTCTTATTTAGTTTAATTTCATTTAGGTTTATGCAACATTATAAAAAGTCTTTTATGTCGCGTTACAGAGGGCAGTTCAAAATATTTACTTATATTTTGCAATCTCGTATAAAATGAAACATATAATTAAGAAACTTCGAGAAAAGAGTCGTGACGTAAATTGAGAGATAAAAAAAGAGAAGATAGAAATTATGTACCTAAATAATTGTGCAGATAAACAACAGCTGCATGCAAGGCGTTCATGCCGTCTCTTCCTGCAAGCGAACATTTCTCAGTGTTGTCCAACAAATATTTCGCAATCTCAAACAACTTTCTTTCTACGGCAAGAAAAAGTGGAGATTCTCCAATACTATTCGTAACAAAGCGCTAATTCGCAATCTTCCTCGATCAGTAGCTTAACAACGGAGAGATGACCATTTCTAACCGCATCATGAAGCACCGAATCCTTCTTCAAATTCACCATTTTCATCACCTTTGGATGATCTAATTCAACCCCATTTATATGCATCAACTTTATAACCTTTTTTTTGGCCTGAAACTACCGCTGCTGTCTCTCCAAGCCTTCCGTGATCGATTAGAAGCTTCGCGATTTCTCGACATCCAATCCTCGCCGCGACATGGAGCGCAGTGTCTCCGCCGGAGTTCTTGTGATACAAGAGCGATCCATGAGACTGAAGGATCTTCTCCACGATGTGTCCTTGTTTGTGTAGCGTCGCGACGTGAAGAACACTGTTTTTCTCCAGCGTTTCTTTCAGTAACGCGTCGGATTTGGAAAAGATTTCGAAGATTGTTTCGTCGCCGGAAGCTGCGGCTAGGTGTAATAATGCAGGATCCATTTTGCTCTAGATGAAAATCCTAGTGAAAGAAAGACCAGATTTCTTTCTTTTTTTTCTCTTTCTTTCTTTCTTTCTTTCTTGACCTGCGCCTTGTTATGTAAGGGAAGAGGCATTATTGAGTGAAAGGAGTCTCTCATCTATTATTTGATGAATACTAAAATGGATTAAGGAAGGAGAAAAAAAAGGCAGTTTGAGCACCCATCAATTTGGGAAGGGAACCAGGTCAGGATTCAGGTTGTGGCTGGTCAAAACTGTTTAGCTCGCACTTGCAGAAACTAGTGGGAAATAAGCACTATGAAATTAAAAAGGGTTAATTGCATAAATGGTCCTTGAGTTTTATTATAAATTCTACTTTAGCTCTTGACTTTTTAAATGTCCCATAATTGGTTGTTGATATTTTATTTTGTTTTAATTTCGGTCTTTTTATTAACTAGGCGTTAAAATTTGATATAATATGCATAAATTAAAGACAATTTTGGAACTATTTGTAAAAATTAACTTTTATTTGTTAGAGTTAATTTTACAAACGGTCCTTGAAGTTTAGCCTTAATCTCACTTTAGTCTCTTACTTTTCAAGCGTTGCATTGTTAATCTTGAGATTTTATTATGTTAGCTTGTGTTAAATATTTGATGGATTTTGTAGAAATTATGGACTAATATTAGAAACATATAAAGTTTAAAAACTAAAACAATACAAAAAACTAAAAGTTAAATTTCACAGATCAACCCAAAATTTTAGTTGTTTCTAGTTTTGGGTTCTACTTTCCATAGATTCCATCAAATTTTAATGCATAATTGATGGAAGGACCGAAAATGAAACAAAATAAAACCTCAGGACCATCTGTGTGACATTTGAAAAGTCAGAGACTAAAGTAAGATTTAGTGTAAACCATAGGGACCATTTGTGGAATTAATGTTTAGTCCTTAATCTTTATATATTTCTAATTTCGGTCCCTAATTTTCATAAATTTTGTTAATTATTTAGCACCAAACTAATAGAAAGACTGAAACTGAAACAAAATAAAACCTTAGATGACTAACTTTAAGACATTTTAAAAGTCATGGACTAAAGTGGTATTTAGGTTAAATCTCATAGATAATTTGTGAGATAAACCCAATTAAAACTTCACGATACCAGTCCCCCTCAAAGGTAGAGGTGTATGTAAGTTTGAGCCACTCGATGTGACAACCATTAATCCCTTAAGGCACAAGGCCAAGATATGGTAAGTTGTACAGTCTCATATCACTTGGAGATGGAGATATGTACTAGTTTATAAGGAAATAAACTACCTTCTAATAGTATGAGACCTTTTGCGGTGAAGCCCAAAAGTAAAACCGTGGAGACGTACCTAGTTGTCACATCGTGCGGGTCGTTACACGCACCTACCTTGGGCTGACTAGCCCTAAAAAAGAGCCTGGCCCACAAATTTATAAAGTATTTTTTTAAAAAAAGATTCATAAAAATACAAATTAGGTTTTGGGTATAAAATTTTGACCCAGCATGAAGGTTAATGTTGGGTCAGGTAAGGTTCGGGACAACAATGGTGGGCATGGGACTAGGCCAAACTTAGCTCTCTACTCATAGGTGTTTAGCATGCGAGAAAATAAAGGAAATACCCCTTAAATAAGTACCCCAATCTATTTCTAACCCCCAAAGATTAGCTTATTGATTTCTCCTATTTTACAATTAAAATAATAAAAATAATTAAATTAAACATTTTTAAACTTTCAAAGTTACCCTCAATGGTCCATTAGTAGATTATAAAACAAGCCGGTGGGCCGGCGGGCCATTAAATGACAGATTACACTGACCACCGGCGTGTCTCCGGTCATAATTTGACAGGTTATGATTCATAACTTAACAGATTACACTGGCCACTGGCGGTCTCCAGCCGGCTGCCTGCCAAAACCTAACAGGTTATGATCCATAACTTGACATATTACACTGGCCACAGGCGGTCTCCGGAAATAACCTGACAGGTTATGATCTATAACCTGATAGATTACATCGGCGGCTTTCTGGCCATAACTTGACAGGTTATGATTTATAACCAGATAGATTACACCAGCCACGGGCGGGTCTCCAGCAGGTCGTTGACCATAACCTGATAGGTTATGATTCATAACCTGACAGATAACACCGGCCACTGACAGGTTTCTTGTCATAACCTGATATGTTATTATCCATACCTAACAGATTACACTGACCGCCGACCTCTGGTTACCGGGGTCAATCATAATATGATCCATCAAGTTATGATCTATCAGGTTATGATCCATAATCTTTGGATATTTTAATCTTTTAAGTTGTGATGAAAATATCTCATAAATAAAAAGGGTAGCGTTTTTTAAAATAGTAGAAATAGAAAGTTTGGTGATTAGAAAAACATGTAATTCTCTCTTAGCAAGCACTCGCATCGCAGTACTTATAAAATTAATAAAACAAGTGGGAAATACGCACTACGAATAAAAAATTTACAATGTCAGTTTCTCCCTCCCTCCCTCCAGAAAACGGTTTAGGTCTAGTCGTGCAATTGGAAACTAATATCGGTCTTGTTGTCCTTTTGGTCGTTCTTATTTTGTCAAGACTTATTCTGAAACGTACAGGCTATAAATGCAAAACACTCAAAATAACGTATGGTTTTTTTTTTACCAAATAAAGAAAAGAAAAAAAAGTATGGTAAACTTTCAGGGTGTTTGTTTGCCAAATATTTCATTAAGGTTTGGTGGCAGGAGTTGACGCATTAGAAAAGTGATTTTTCCATAGAGTTTTTATTTATTTATTTATTTTTCCTTTTTTAAGAGAAAAGTATATGCATTTGCCATGACCATTTTGTGCATGTTTTTTATTTATACTATTATAAATAATTGCGATTGGGTTTTTTATTCATACTATTCTAAATAATTGAGTGTCCGTTTTTTATTTTATTTTTATTAATTAAATTATAATTGCTTGTTTCATATGTTTGAACCTGTTTGAATCTTTTAGTTACAGTGGCTTTTCTTACAAGATTTTTAATTTCGGTTCAGAAATACCACCTTATGTCACTTCACTAAAAAAATAAACAATTGTCATTCAACAAATTAAGAAAAAATAAAAGGTTATGATGACACATAATTATTTAGAATGACATAAATAATAGACCTGCATAAAACTATGACAAACTATGTATTTTTATCTCATTATTAAATAAGTATTGTTCATGAATGTTTTAAGGATTATTTTCATAAATGCACCACCCTGAAGTATGTACCTTTATTCAAAGTACTCGTAATTTTTTTTAAAGCCATTCAAAACATCTCCCAATCTATACAAAATCGATCAAAACACCCCTTCTGTCCAATTCAGTCCATAAAACTCCATTAACACGACATGTTATTAAAAATTAATTGGTCATTAAATTCTAATTAAATCTAAATAGGATCAAATGCTACAAATGTAATTTAAAAAATATATAAAAAGAAATAAGATTGAAAAAAATTAGGGAGGAGGAAAATAGGCCAAGAGTTTATAGGAATTAAAATTAATAGGACAATGTTTAAGAGAAGTTAATAAATTGACCAATCTAATGTAGATTCAGATTTACAACCAACTGAAATTTTAAAAATACCATCTTGGTGAATCTTAAATTTACCTTGTATATCCAGGATTTACCATTAGAGTTTGCACGGTTCTTGAAAAAGTTATGCTAATTACCAAGTATATCCATGATTTACTATTAGAATTTGTACTATTTTTTTTCAAGTGATTCTAACATTGTAAATCTTAGTAAATCCTCGATTTACCTAGATTTATTATCTATATCCATAATTTACCATTAGAATTTGTATGGTTCATGAAAAAATGATGCTAACTTAGTAAACTTTAGATTTACCAAGTATATTTAAAATTTACCATTACAATTTGTAGTGTTCTTTTTTAAGTGATTAAAACTTGATAAATCCTGGATATACTTGGATTTACCAAAGATAAGAGAAAAATAGCAATAAAAGGGTAAAATTAAAACATAAAAAAATTGAAAACATGAAATAGTCTATTAATTTCTATACATTGGTAAATTAGCCATTTATTTTCGTAAGTTTCAAATATAAGTCTATTTCCTACAATTTCTCAAAAAATTAAAACACTCATTCTAATCCAATTGCGTTTCTTGTTTGCTTAAAATAAATTAAAAAAAAAGAAACCAATTGCATTTTCCATTCACGATCCGACACTCATGGACATGGTGATCCATCATTAAAAAAAAAAAAAAAAAATTGATCCTTTTTTAATCCCCTTTATGGGCAAAAGAGCAATCCCTCTTTATTGTTTCAAGTCCATGGAAAGTACTTAAAAAAATGCAAAAGCTCTGCTTTAACTTCGTTCCAGCACACAGAAATAAAGAAAATTTTCCCAATTTTTTTTTTCTTGCGTTAAGATTCATATAACGAAACTTAAATTTTCCAGACAGCTTTCTGCAGATGCGTCATTGATCCGCCACTACCAAATGAAAAGAAAATTAGATCTATGGCTAAGATTGTATTGTGAAATTAATTTTTTAAAATAAATTTTGTTAGAATTTATTGGTTGTACATAGTTAATTTTTAATAGTATGATACATCAACATATCCCTTAGGATCATAAATAGAATTGGACAGAAAGGGCATTTTGATCGATTTTGTATATATCGATGGTGTTTTAATCACTTGAACTAATATCTACTGCTGCACGAATCTAAAAAAATCACGGTTTTTTTCCACATCGGTTAGCGTTGTGACATAGATATAGCAACATTTTTGTCACCCTGGCTAGATTTTTTTTTTCTTCTTCTTAATGCCCTTTTCCCAACATAAACATGTGTCTAAGGCGAAAATACTTTGTTAGGTATTGTGACAGAAATGGTGAAAAAATATCCTACTGCAGTGGAGCAACAAGATAATTTTGGATGGACACCGGTTCATTGTGCTGCACACTTCGGCCTACAAGATGTTATTAACTTATTCCTAACATACCGAAAGTCCTCAGCCTACAAAAAGGACAAGGAAGGGATGTCAGCTTTCCATTTAGCATCTAAAAAACGACAGGTTGGGATAATGGAGGAGTTGATAACATTTTGCCCAGACATATGCGAGTCATCGACTTCCAATGGTCAGACTGCTCTTCATGTTGCCGTGACAAGAAGGCAAAAGAAGGCAGTGGACTGTCTCTTGAAAGAACAGGCCGGCTCCAACGTCGGTGTTTTGAACAAAAAAGACACAGATGGAAACACGCCTTTGCATTTGGCTGCCATTTTAGAAGATTACGAGATTTTGAGTATGCTTTTGAACGACAAAAGGCTGGAAGGAAATGCAGTGAATAAGGATGGTTTGACTGCTATGAACATCATTCTATCGTGTAAAGAGCTTCAAGAACCACAAAAGGTACGAAAGTCTATTATTAATATTTTTTTATCATATGTTATATGGTTTAGACCCTAATTGGGCACTTAGATATTTAATGCGCATTCCTTTTGTTTTTGCATCTATCCATGTTTAGAGTTACTTACATTAATCTAACTGATAGGCTGTAGCTAATAGCAACGGTATTTATTGAAATAACATGTCATGTTCTTGATGCAACACTTGCAGTCAGATATTGTCGCAAAGTTGAGAAGCGTAGGCGGTTTTCCTAGTCTTAAGGAACAACTACCAGAAAGAACTGCAAAAATGCCAGACATCATAGAGACAACGGAAAAGCCACGACCACAATCAGAAGATGACAATAAAGAGGACAAATTACCAAATAAAAAGCGAAAGAAGTTCTGGGTAATTCCGGAGTCTCTTTATGTTTTGGGAAATCCAAAAAACATACAAAGACCATCCGAGGTAGACTTACGGCTTGCCACACTCATAGCAACTATCACCTTTGCGGCGGCTTTCCAAGTTCCCGGCAGGTACGAAAGCGACGGTCCTTATATGGGCTTGCCAATATTAAGGCACAAATTTCTTTTCAAGGCGTTTACAATTTTGGATTCCTTGGCTTTAGGTTTTTCAACTTCTTCGATCTTTCTCCACTTTCTAGCTGTGGTGGGACCAAACAAAACAGACTGTGTGAACTATGCTTTGATAATTGCCCATGTAACGACCTACTGCTCCATGATAGCAATGGTAACCACATTTATATCGGCGGCATCTCTAGTTTGGGGAAATTCTGGGGGAGTAACAGCAGCAGTTTGCGCTTTCTTTGCCGCCTATGTAAGCGGTTTTCTTTACATTGTCTTAGCAAAATGGGTTGACAAAGTTTCTGAGACCAAATAAGTCGAGAGTTCTGAAGCAGGACTTGCTTGAGTTGCATGGCAACTATTGGCAACTACGTGTTGTTATACTGCTTTCATTCTAGTATATATAATCTTTTCCTGGGATTAATCTAATAATCTTGATCTTGATAAGGTTCTTCTCCACAAAATAGTCTTTGTACTGGATGTTGTGGTTAAAAACATGGTGTAAAGATGCTAGTCTGATGATGTACAGGTTAAATAATCTATTACTGAAACGTCGCACAAGCAGCTCTAAATATCTCTCACTAGCCACTATATATATATATATATATATATATATATATATATTACAATCCTACCCCCTTAAAGAAATTCCGTCATCAAAATTAGGTAGCGGTTAAACTTGCGAAAACAGCAACAATGAAATGTAAGAAAACAAACAATGTTACCGATTTCATCACTTTGCGACTCCTCATGATTTCTTGTATGATCACGGCTTTTCGTATATCAAAGAGGTGAATTCTCATCTCTATACACATCTAAACTTTCAACTTCCAACTAGAAGGGTTATACAAAGTTATAGAATTATTGAACAAGAATCATCATGAACGTGATTCTTGTACGGTGCTCAAAAGGTTCTAGATTCTCAACATCTAGCTAAGCACCTTAAGTTAAGTGCTTAGAGAGGTTCTCCACCTAATCAGACTCGGATTACCTAAAAAAATTATCCAATTTACTCAGTTCTTTAATTTTGCATCTGGGCTGATCTGACATCTGTCACGAAAACACGTGCAGACCGTTGTGTCTCCAAAGAGTAGAAAAATGGTTTTGAATGAACATAGACATCCAAGTCTTTCCAACGAGCTATCACATGCCCTATTTCAAATATTCTAAGCCTTTCAAACACATCTTACAAGAAATTAAAATTCTGAAACTTCAACTTTTCAAGGCATTTTGAAAAGTTTTTAAGCAAAACTTTAACTTTGTACATCTTGATCTACAAAACTCCAAACAAAGTGATTCCAAGTGCTACACGTCACTAATGACGCACACTAAATGATAGGATAAGTGTATTAAGTGCAGCGTTCCCGGTTCTAGAAGTTGGGGTTCAAATTCACACCTTTTACATTATGCTAAGAACGCAATTTTGACATTTCTGACAGAAATGATCATAAAACATTCCACATAGATCTAAAGGGTGTAATTCTAGTTTCTGAATAAATTAGAGACCTAGAGCTTCGAAACGAGTTATCATATGCCAAAATCTGAACTCTCTAAGTACCTCAAAAACAGTTTTTACGAAATCAAAATTCTATTATTTCCTTGTTCTGACAGCTTTTTAAAAGTTTCTACATGAAACTTTCAATGCGCATGCCCCTATTTGTTTTAACCATTCGAATTGTTGTTTAAGATTCAAACCGTAGTTCAAGATTCAAATTGATGTCTGGTAGAAGACAATTCAAGAACAATTCAAACTATTAACAATTGTTCAAACTTTTAAATTTTAAAATTCACCACCCCTTTAAATTCTAGCAATATGACAATAAAAACCAATATCCGGCGCACGTGCTTTCAACGATAGAAGTATAACGTGATACAGCAAAGAATCAGTACCGTTGTTGCATTCAAGCGTGCTTATTCTACCCTTGTACGAAACTAATAACCTGTTATGATATCACATCCAAATATACCTATTTAAGAATATCTCCTTACGAAGGTCAACATCGCAAGAAAATAAAGCTTGAAGCAGCTTTAGATAATTGCATTACGTCACAGAGTAAAAGAGTCATAAATAAGATAGAACACTAGAGCCCGAAAATGGATTGTAATATGATGCGATAGGATCTAAGACAAAAGCTACGAGAACCAGAGAATTGGTTAGAATATGATGAGACATGATGAAACCAGTTCTATTGCTCTTATAATTAGTAATAGCTATGATATATGATGATAGTATAATCAGTAATATCCCACAATAATATTGGACCATTCACAGGTCTTGAATAGAAGGTTTTACTTTTTGGTCTAACACGCACGCGCGCACACAACTTCAGGGCATATATAGCAATGTTTAAGTTTTAATTCGCTGATTCGAGTTGAGATGTGACTTTATGTGAGCTTTTTACTGTAATAAAAAAATTAGATGACTGTTTCTGAAAACTTTTTACTAAAGTAAAACTCCAATTCTAAACTCGAATCGGTAAAATGAACGGGGTTCAAAAGAAATTAAAAAAGAATTCAAATCAAGCTTTGATTGCTAAAATAAATGAGAATAATAATCTGAATCAAATTACATGCATGCTTTACAAATCTGATTGACATAAAACAGGGAATGTTGTGATGCAGAAACTTGAATGAAAATCACAAGATGCAGACCACCTAAATACAGGAGAGATGACAAAAAAGAAAAAGAAAAAAGGAAACAAAAAAAGGAAACAAAAAAATAAAAAATAAAAAGCAGAAAAACAATGATGGAAATCAGAATCTATAATACAGTTTTTATTTAATAAATGGATTTATGTTATCAGCATTAGTTTCTCGTTATCATTTGCCGTTTATAGTTTCCTTATTTCAGTTCGTTGAGATGTGACTTTATATGAGAACTTTTTACTGTAACAAAAAAGTTAGATGTGATTGTTTCTGAGAGCCTTTTACTGTAGCAAAACTCAAATTCTAAACTCGAATCGGCGAAATGAACGGGACCTAAACAAGGTAGGTTGTAATTTAGTTTGCCTATAAACAAGGTAGGTTGTAATTTCAATTCAAAGCATGGTTCATGACTGATTGTTGAGATTTACGGTTTTTCTTCACTTGAGTTCTTATTCTCTCTCCACAAGGCTATTTAGCTATCTCCAGTGTCTCTAAATCTCCATCGGTTCTGTTTTTGTATTTATATTGTCTCTTCTATCTTGGTCCCAAATCAAGTGGTAGCCATTTCGGTTTCCCAGCAATTTGAGGCAAAAACCAAAACAAGACCTTATTTTTTTTTCACCTTGCAAAACTGACGTCCTACGCTCAACCGCCACAGCCATGTGTCTTCTCGTCGTCGTCACATGCCATCTCTTTTGCATCACCGCCCTTGCCAAACAATTCAAGCATCCCTTATTTGCAAAACCCAGTCGAAGAAGCTTCCAATCGCCAACGCAAAATCCACCACACGCCACCCTGAAAACTGTCACTGCACCTTTGAGTGAATTATGGTCCCACTGTGCATCTAATCTCATCCCCGTAATGAATCAATCCAACAGCCACCGATCTACAAAACCCTAGGCTGCCACTACTCAAGGTTGCCGAAATAGTCTTCATCTGCATAAACCTAGAGTCCTGTCTACAACCAGCTCCGTTCTTGTTGCTCCACGCCCTTACGGGACCAATACAACCCACCACTCAACTCAATGAAGTACTCGTCCATTGAACCAGCTCGCCGAAGCATAACCGTTGCCAAGTCAGTGGAGGATTCACGCACCAGCCACCATGAATGGCCTTTGTTTCAGTTGTTCCGTCAGACTCTCCAAGGTTGTTGATCTTCTAGGCCTTGAGTTAGTCACTTAATCGTTAGAAGTTTGCAATATCTCTTTGAAAAATGTAGTCTATTATCCTATTTATAAAGAAATTAGTATCTACTTCTTCACCGCACAACTAGCCACTAAAACCTTTTGGTAGAGGTGATCACTACTCACTGCTTACACCTAATGGTCACTCGAGGAAAGGGGCTTTGTTGCCAACTGGCTGCCCATCCAGGGATGTCTAGCGCACATGTGCTAGTTACTCATTTGAAAGTCCAATAAACTACACAAGAAAGGTCATATTCAACTAAATGGCAACCATTCATCACCGAATTTTGAACTGAAACATAATTAGCTGCCCGAAAATCCTTGGATAATATCAAAACATCCAATTCAATAAATGAAGTAACACTGAGTCTCAAACATGAAAACTGCATAACCATTATCTTGGTCATACATTTAAAAACAAAAACAACAACTTAAAATAAAAAAACCATCGTTATACAGTATAATTCGAGTAAAGGATATAGAAATAGGTAGAAATTTCCAAAGCGCAGAGTCAGAAACTTCCAAGGATTACGGGCAGTCACAGAGGTTGTTGTACCATTCATAAACAAAGTTTATCTGATGTTTGGCAACCATAAACAGATCGTTTATGGTTCCTAAGACACTTATAGATGTCTCGAATCTGTTACTAGTACTAGTGGGAAGTGGCGAGTGCATCATATTCCGATACAGCTAAAAAGAACGGAATTATGCAGGCCAACCAGTCGCTAGCACTTTACAGTTCGTACTTGGGAATATATACTTGGAGTCTTGGACTACACTATCAAGGAACTACAAGAAAACCTCAAAACAGAGGACATTTGCACTGCAAACTATACTTCCGTGTTCGTTTACACAATTCTATCATTCGACTGTCCCAATCAAACTGATCAAAACTTGTGCTTTATTGCTAAGCAAACTTTCAAAGAAAACAACTTCAAAGGAACTCAAGAAAATGTATACTTCAAATGGAATATCAAGAAAGCTAAAGGAAAACAAAGTACATATATACATCATCCACAGTATCTACAGTACAGTTTCTGTGCAAAATTCTGAAAGCAATACTTCCTTGTTTGCCTACAGTTCTACAATTTGATTGTCACCATTCAAATTAATTAAACCTCCTTCTGCTTCATTACCAAGCAAAAAGCTCTAAAATAAAACAAGTTTCAAGAATAAGCCCAACATTGAATGCCATAGAAATGAATCTCCAATTTGTTTCCCTCAATTGAAAGCAACATTCATATTTAATAATCAAAAATTGAAAAATCAATTGAAAGAAACATTCAAACTTTAATATTCAGAATTGAAAAATCACAGACACATACATGAGCATCTAATTTATTTCCCTGAATTTCCAAGAAATAAAATGCTTAGAAATAAGAATTTGGTACCAACTCTAGTCCTAAAAATTTTCTAGGAACTACAAATAAATAATAAGAACAATAATAAAACAAAAATGAGCTTCTAATTACCCTAAACACTTCTCTCTTCTTTTTCCCGCAAGTCCAATTACATAAAATGTTTGATAAAGAAATCAAACACTTGAAACAAATTCTTGCAAAACGGGAAAGAATACAGAAAGGAACACGTTTGTTTCCCAAGAAAGTAGAGGAATATTATCCAAATTCTCAGTCAAGAAAACCTGTTTGCCGAAACACCGCATTCCTGACCTGGCGAAGATCTCTGCCCTTCAAGGTTCTCCCCGCGCCTTCGAGAACCGAGCACGATAGCAGCGGCGAGTGTGCTAAGCTCCTCGCCACAATCTCGTGCGGCGGCAACATCTCGGCATCGCCATCGTCGGCGTCGGCATCAACCTCCGCGAAGAAATCCCGGGGCCTCCTCATCGCCTCCGACAGCATCGGGACGTTCACCGGCGCGGACTGGTGGTACTTGACGGAAGAATTAATTGGCGTGATGCGGTCCTGAGGAGGCTTCGGAATCACCGGAATGAGGCGGGACGACGTCGGCGAGGAGGAAGAGGACGACGAGACCGAAGCCTTGACGAAGAAGTGCGAGAGGTCGCGGAGATTCGGCGACGAGGTTTCGTTCTCGGGAAGCGCGGCGAGGATTCCGAAGCCCTCGGGCGGGGCGAAACCGCCTTTGGAGTGAGCAATCCGGTTGCTGTGATTGTTAACGCGAGAGGCGGTGGACGAAGGAGAGCTAGGGATGTGGTTGTTCTGGCCGTTGCCGTCGTGGCGCGGAGATTCGGCCACGGAATCGCCGGTCCAGAAGATGTCGTCCTCGTTGAGCTCGTCGCCGGCGGCGGAGCTTGTGCTGGGGCCGGCGGTGTCGGGAGGCGAGTGGGAAAACGCGCGGAGGAAGCGGTCGGTGGATGTGGATTGCTTGTGGCGAATTCGGGTGATGTCCATATGAGAGAGAGAGAGGTTTTCGGGTCAGGAGTCGAAGGGGATTCTCTCGAAAAACGTGATTATCATAAGACAGAGAGAGAAGGATATGTGAAGGGAAAGGAGGAAAGGAGATCCAATAGGGTTACAATTACTTACAAAGGCGAAGAAGAGTGACGTGGTCAAAAAAAAGAAAAAAAAGAAATTATTTTAGTATTCTCTATTATATTAAAATTTAAGTTTAATATTCTCTATTTTTAAAATTTTTATACCGGTATCTTGACTTTTTAAAAAAAATATTTAGGCCCCGTTCATTTCGCTAATTTGAGTTTAGAATTCGAGTTTTACTACAGTAAAAAGCTCTCACAAATAATCACATCTAACTTTTTTGCTACAGTAAAAAGCTCTCACATAAAATCACATCTCAACTCGAATTAAAAACTCGAATCAGCGAAGTGAACGGACTCTTAGTATTTCAAAGTTAATTTTTAGGGTACCAAAAGACATTATTCTTATTATAAAAAATTCATCTATTCACCAAAATTGTAAAGGAAAAAAAAGGATTTTAGAAATTATTATATATGTAGAGCATAATCTTTTTTTAAAATTCCTTTTTTCAAAATCCTTTTTTAAAATCTTTTTTTTCTTCAAATTTTGGTTAACAGATAAATTTTTACAATAAGGATAATTTTATCTTTTTGTGTTTTAAAAATAGCTTTAAGGTACCACAAAAAAAAATTTTAAAAGGTGAGGTACCAACATGAAATTCTCAAAAACAGAAGATAGCAAACTCAAATTTTAATGTAACAGAGGGTATTAAAATAAAATTTTTCTGAAAAAATGTCAAAAATAATATTAGACTTTCTCTTTGCTCAAAAAAATATATGAGACTTTTTCTGATAATCCCTATAAAAATAAACTACTAATAGTTTTTTACTTTTTAGTCATTAGATCTGTATTAAAATCTGTCTATTATGCATATTTTTTAATTTAATGTGATTTTAATTAAATTTAACAATCAAAACTAAGATTACTCATATAACATACTACTAAAAAAACTCTCAAATAATATATTATCCATCGCCATAAAAAAGAAAAAAATGTAAAAAATATGATAAAATCATTTTGGTACTTATATAATGAATCATCTCACAGGTACGTTAATTTTTTTAAATAACATTAAAACTGTTTCGTTTTATTTTTAAAACCGGTATTTTAGTATCATAATCTCGTTTTCAGTATCTAAAATATTAATTGTACTTTTACCACTGTTTTTTTATTAAAATACATCCAAACAACATTATAATTAGAGGAAAAATGGGTTAAAGGTGTTATTTTGAAAAATAGATTTGTCCGGTTATAGGGAAATTAAATTCCCTTTTCTTTTTCTCGAATTATAATGTTATTTAACTCATTTAACGAAAAATAGTATTAAGAACACAATTCACATTCAAATACTAAATATGGGGCTTAAGGTATAAAAAAATTGTATTTCTAAAACTTAGAGGTATGGATTTAATATTATTCTCGTAGGTTGCTTTTTTCCTATTCCACGCTTAAATTTGTTTTGTTTGTTTCTGTTGTTGATTTTATTTATTTTTCTTAAATTCTTCATGTGGTCTTGTTCTTTTCACAATTAAAGTCATAATTAAATTGTATCATTACAGTGTATTCTTTCACAAGAAATTAAAATTAAAATTTTTTATTATAGTATTTTTCTCTCATATACACAACTTAAATTAATAATTTGAGTCGTGAAACAAACATACTTTTGAGTTTTATCAACTTTTTTTCTTTTCTTTTTAATAGAATTTTTTGCTTCTGAAAAATAATTGTAAGATAATGATCAGAAGAAAAGGAAATTTTATTTTTCTGAATGATGATTGCAAAATAATAACTATGAATTAATTACTTCCCATTTTATTCAATATTTGCTATAAAATTTTTTGAGTTTTTTTTTTTTTTTTTTTTTTTTTTTTTGTTTTTTTTTTTTTTTTTTTTTTTTTTTTGAGATTTCATTACTCAAAAAGTGACATACAAACATCATTCAAAAAATTCCGAAAAGGGATTAATTATCTGTCCAATATATTAATTTAAAAAATCAAATGTGACTTTTTGAAATCTAAAAAATTTTAAAAACATCTCACAAGGGGTTGCAGGGTGGGTGGAGAAGGGAAAATCTGATATAGCATTGGAGATGGGAGAGAAGACAGATATTGAGCATTGAAGGAGCTTGCGATGGAGCTCAAAGATGTTCATTTTCCCAAATCTGATAAACATGTTTATTTTAAAACAAAATGTTTGAAATATTTTTAGAAAATATTTTTTAAAATCTAAAACTTTAATCATTAATTAAAATGGTAGAAAGGATATTTGCTGCTCTAAAAAAACAACCTCACGTACCAAAGTAGTTTCCTTTTTTTTTTTTGTAATATAAAAATATCTTTTGAATATTATTTTTATAATGGAAAATTTTCATTTAATAATTAAGTTAATATAGACTCTAAAATAGTTGTAAATAACTGTCAAATATAATGGTATTTAACCGCTGACAAAAACTAGATCCACAATTAAAAAAAAAAAAAAAAAAGAGGAGGGGGAATATAAGTGCTGAGTTCTAATGAAAAAGGACTCACTCAATACATTAATACAAAATCTCATTCAATAAAACCAATGCAGTTTTTGTAAATATGGTGTTTTTGAGATGTTTTTGAATAACAAAAGTCCCGTTTATTTTACCGATTTGAGTTTAGAATTCAAGTTTTATTATAGTAAAAAATTCTCAGAAACAGTCACATCTAATTTTTTTTATTACAGTAAAAAACTCTCATATAAAGTAACGTCTCAACTCGAATCAGCGAATTAAACGGACTTAAAAGATATCTGAGGTATTTTTTTTTCTTCTGACGCAGGAATTACCAAGCCATTAAAGGCAGGACGCCAAAGAAATCTTGCTTAGCTCGACGCGACGGAAGTAGCTCTGGCCTCCGGGCAGCACTACTACTAGTAGGTGGAGCCTGCACTGACCTGATGGTCTCCACTTCCACTCCAAAGCCCTTTGGACAAATAATAAAATGCAGTTTAGAAATAAATCCAATGGCACATTCTTGGCTAGAGAGGGAGAACGGAAAAGAATCAACTGCATTCATTTTCATTATGTACTAATCTAAAAGGTCACACAATTTCACCACTAGATATAGAAAAGTACAAAATCTGCATAGAATCGAAGGTAAAGTGATGAACAAGTAAAGTGCATTGATAGCTTATAAATATGAAGGAAAATAGAAAAAGAAGAACAGTCTTCATGCAGAAAATTTAAATTTCAACAGACTATGCAGGAAACATATAGATGACCTCTAAGTAACTAATAACCAAATATGAAATGTACACAACTACAGCAAAAAATAATTACTATTTTCTTTTCCATTTTTGACTCAAAAGCGAGAAGATACCTTTATAGCAATTTGTTTAGAAAAGGATTAATTGCTAGATTTTAAATTATCTCAACACAATCTAAACAAGATCAAAATAATTAATTTAGCCAAAAATCTAAAAATGCCACAAAATTCTTATTTGGGATTTAGACATACCTCATATTCCAGTGGGCAGCAGAAGCACGTCGTTCATGGTTGCTGGAAAACGTCAATGGCCGACCGGAGTCCATGAAGAACCTGCAAAAGGAAGAAGAAGTTGGCAAGATGAGCTACTCCCTATCTCTCCCTCTCTGCTCCTTTCACGTTTGCAGCACACACCCACAAGCACAAGCCCCCCTTCTCTCTAAAGAAGGAGTGGTGCCTATATAAACCAAATAGGCCTAAGGGCTTGGGCTGACCAAAAATTATGAGATAGAGGGAGTTCAAATACCTCAAGTGTGTTAATAAAACAAGTTTTTATCCCATTATGGACTAATATTTAACATGCATATATTAATTAATTCACATTGACACAATTATTCATAAGATGCTTTAATTAATTACAAAGTGAATTATTATGATTATGGAAGTTCACATAAAAATATTCTAACAGTCTCCCACTTAGACGACATAATCATATAACAAATATTCACTCATCACAACATAAGCATCAACTAAGAATCTCACATAATAAACATAAGCCCAAAACAATCATGCATAGTAACATATCGACAGGATACAATCATTATACATAATCAAGCGCTAGAGATTCATCAAAGCATGACGACAACTTTAATATATGGATAAAAAATAATGATAGAGATTAACAACCAGATGTCTCTTTTCAACTCGTCACTTTGCCAACTAAAAAGTGTGTCAACACAACATCACACATAAAGTGACAGATCCATGAATATGCATGTATTATTTGAGGCATAAGCAATCCTTATCAATAACAACATGTCACATACAAATAACAGTCAACTCCCACTAACTCAATATAACTACAGCCTCCTTACAGTCCCGAGTGGGATGCGTATTCTTAAAACACCTAATAGGTAAGGCTTTAGTGGAACTGCCAACGTGTTGTTTATAGGCATGTTTTCAGTAACAATGAGGTCTTTTACAATTTCTCTTTACAAAAATAAAACACACCATCATTATGCTTGAGCGGACAATTCTTCTGGTGTTCTAAGAGAAATATACTATTATGGAACTTTTACAACACAATTTCAGCCGGTTCAGAAATGGAGTGAACTACTCCGAATGCTAAAACAAGGTTCCACAATCACATCACAGAAATAACCTCACGATACGCCAAATACTCCGCATCACAGTCAAGGATGCTACGAGTGTCTATTTGACACTTTTCAACAAAGTAGGTCCACCTTTTATCATTTATGTAGCCTACATAATCGGCATCACAAGATCCAACTACAACAAAAGTATTGGTTCGCCGATACACAACTATCTGATACTTCATTCCCAGTTAATTTAGTAATAATAACAACAGTCACTCAAGTACTGAATTTGCACGTCAACAAGCACGATAATAAGACATGTGCATACTTGAGCATACATCAGGCTGCTAAACACGTAAGCATAAGGGACAATTTCATATGATCTCTCTTACTTCACCATAAAGACATTACACCTTTGAGAGTTTGTCACTTTAACAAACAATGCTTACTAAAATAACAAGAATGCATACTGAACATGTTCG